AGTCGACCAAAATATACGGTGTTGGAAAAGAAGAAAATGCAAAGATAGATGTGTAAGCCCCGGTGAGATGGCGCTGACAGAGAGAGAGCGGTCCTACTAAGCAAACTAGACAAACGTTGAACGGAGGGATTCCGATACACAGTTTATCATCACATCGGCTTCAAGACCGCAATTTTAGCCTGCTCAAGCTTCTAGTTAAAGAGATAATGCGGGTGCTGAAAGCTATCGATAGGTGTAAACAGCAATTAATTCTAAGTACAATTAAACTCATAGCTCTCTGCGGGGGACTCGGTTGGTTAGAGCGTTGGCTGTACTAACACCCTCACCCTGCTGGCATGAGTTAAAATTCCACCGAGTTTTTCACAACTGGGTCAAATAAGATGGCATTTATTTGAGTAGGAATTCGGGTAAAACATAATTTTCTACAGCAAGGTTAGTGTGTGTTTAGAACGAGGGCGGTCTTAGGGGGGAAATGTATTCGAATACGACAAAACCAAAGGTTAAAGACAGGCCTTGTCAGTAATATGACAAGCGCTGACTGACCACAACCACACTGGCCTAGAAACATGACGCAACATGAAGACCCTGCCTTAGAGCACCTCCGAATCGTAAATGTTTAAGCAAGACGCCACCTCCCCATATGAAATCCCTTCTTCTAGAAACTGTACAAGTTCCTCCCTGCCGGTGAACAGCGCATTGCAGATTATAGAACAGAGGATAACGGAGACGCAACCGACAACCACCAGTGAAGTAGTTTTGCGTGTTGCAAACCAATTCGTCCCCAGTGGGACCATGTGGCTCAGAGCGCACATTCCAAAAGCACGCAAGACCATAGGGACGCCGTCGCCGACAGCAGAAGGTTAGAGAGTCTGCACAAAGAAGGTGAAAGTTCACTTTAGGGTGCACTAAAGCTTATTTAAATAACCGAATATTTATGCGCGATAATAAACATGCCTCAACAGAGCACAATTAGACACAATCGTGGACTTTATGTCAATTCTATACAGAGAGATGGAGAGTTGATATAGTAGACGACTGTGGCCTGGGAGCTGTCTCTATATCGTCTCCATGTCAACTCCATAGAGATTATATAGAGCCGAAGAATGTGCCCGATTGGGCACTATTGGGCCTCTTTGTTTCCTACTGGTTGTGTTTCTCAGTTTAATTATGGCGCGCAAATACTTGTTCATTCAAACAATTATTCCTATTATTTTCTATTTTATAGGCCCGACTTTTTAAATTAACTTTTGCCCCACCCACTTGACCCTCATCACCACCTGCCCCGTATTACAGAAGGGTGAACTTTTTGTATGCGGTTGTGGACCCTAAATTGTACTGCTGCCAAAAAGAAAATCTTGAGGTAAAAAAGCAGACAGGAGTACCGAATCCAACTTCTGCCGCTTAGGACGCGAAGTGCGCGGAGCAGGCGAGTCGACAGTGGGGCTCTCGTCGAGGTCAGCGTTGACGAGGGAGAGGAGAGAGTAGCCTGTGTGGTGCGGGTGACCCAGCATCAGCCGAACGACCAGCTGAAACAGACGGAAGGCATCAGATTCAGTGCCATTGGGGAAGACAAAACAGAAAAAAAAACTAAATGTAAAAAAGATGTTGTCGCACAAGATCATCGGTAGGAGAGACTGAGG